GGAATCTGCCTTCATATAACTTAAGACCATTATTTGGTTTCTTGCATTCTGGAATAATACAAACTATATGTTTTGTTGATATATTTTCCTGCTTTGGGGGGGGGGGTGTTGGACTCCAAGGTCCCTTCCAGCTCTATTCTGATTGAATCTGATTGATTGATGATGCCCCATTAGTTCAGCAATATCGTAAAAACATGTCCTCCCCCAAGAAATATCATCTATCTCCACTTTCTTCCATTTCTGAAAAGATGGGTGTTTAAAAAAAAGCACTAATTAGCTGGTCACTGGGAGATGGAACAGTGGTTTTATCTAGATGAGTTTCAATTATTCTTTTAGACAAATTTAGCAAAACTGGACACCATTAGAGAGTTCTAAAATCTTGTGTACTTAGCATGCATGATTTGCTCCCATATGGATGTTTAGAACTAACAGTCTTCTCTAACTTTTCTGCATGTTTTTTTCTCTTTTGCAGCAGCAGCAGACAATCATTATCCAACCATGAATTTGACACATCTCTAACTAGGTCAATAGGAAGTCCCTCCTCTGTTGAATCCCTGACAGGGTGTTACGTTACATCCAACAGCCCTGGTTCTTTCTTCCCCAGGGCCACATGCTCCCAGAAAGAGAATTCTCCTCTAACTCTGCCATACCAGAAGGGACAAACCCACACCTACAACCATTCTCTTTCATCTGTTACAAACCCCCCATTCCCAATCCCTATAGTGCTCATCAATGGTCTCCCAGAAGAGAGTGGGACACCTACTCAACTTTCCAGGGGCTGCTCCAGTTCCTTCAAAGATAAGATGCCTAAGACCAATTCCAGCAGTTCTTCAGGAGTTAATGGTCTAAACAATTCCTATTCTGACAACTCAAGTTCCTCCACTTCATCTCTGGATGGTAAGTTGTTTTATCCCTATGACTGGAAGCTCACATATTTGTTTCTTTATTTCCAATTGGGGCAGAATCTTTTATTTTAAAAATTGGGAAGGAGGAATACAACTTTTTGGAATAAATGACCTTTTCCAGATCACGTAAAATGTGGTTCACACAATCTGAATTGCAACTCCTTATCCAGACGACATGGATGTTGGTAAGAATTCTGAAAGCTGAGGTCTACATATCTAAAAAGTACCAAACTAGAGGATGGGTGAAATAAAATTTATCTGCTGTGAAAAGAAAAGGAAATAATTCAAATTAAACATGGCAGTGTGTCTGCTCATACAAAAATCAGGGAATAAGGCCAATCTGTACATTATCCAAGCAAACCATCTGTACAATCAACCTGATAAAATTTCCTAAATTGACCACATATTCCCTATTTGTTAATTCACTAGCCTCCCTTCCCTTTGCCTGTGGGCCTTTTGAAGTATTTCAAGAAACTTAGTGAAGGAAAAAGCACAAATCCAGATGAAGTAAATTCATTCCTCTGCCCTTTTTCCTCATATCTTCCATCTGACAATCAGTTTGAGAAGGAAGCTAGTGGGGAACACCAGTATGAAAAATGGATTTCCCTTGCTTTCTCATTCTTATACATGCTTCTGTCTGCTACCATCTGAACAATACTACCTCAGTCAAGGAGGAAGGGGTAGTTCCAGAATTGCAGGTTCAGTCTGCATTCTCTTTCCAGAAAGTAGGACTATCAGAAAAACAAAGTGGCTGATCAGGGACATCCAATCAATAATTCATCTAGAATGGTGTATTGTTGCTTAACAGTAGCCAGATGTTCTAGGAAAATGTAGTCACTCTGTTAATATTAAATCCTGACATGTAATGTTGGGGTTTTGAATGTTTGCTAGGAAATCTAATTAAACCGTGTTTACTTTTGAAGGAGAAGAGGGCAATACAAAATCCAGAAGCTGGGTCCAAAATAGCAAAATTGATTTAAAATTTTGGCATGCGATTTGAGGAGATTCAGTTTGGGGATTCATTAAAGTCCCTGAATATGAAATTGTGTTTTTAGGTTTCACAACTAAGCAGTCACTTTTAAAATTAGTTGTGTGTCATCATGTAAAAGAAAAATAAACTTTTCTAGTCTTATAAAAGTCCAGTATGATGACAGCTACCCTCTGGACATTTGCAAAGGATGTCAAAAAAAATCCTTCAAAATGAAAGCTATGGAAAGCTATAATGAAGCAATGGAAGCAAACATAGGGTGTTGTTTTCATTATATATTCATTGTACCATCTTGATTATTTTAACATCTTCTGCAGATACTCTTGTGTTAATTGCAAAAGAAAATCAAAGGAATTTCAATTAAATCATTTCTAACTTACTGTCTGGATTTCAGTGAACCTAGAATCCTGGGAATTTGGAAGGAATTTGGATGTCTCCCATTATCTCAGTGTGGTCCATCCATTTCAGTATTTGTAGACTGAAACAGATGGAAAACAGTGAGATAATCTCTTTTTCCTTTCCAGCTTGCCTTCATTTATTTTATAAAACCTCCCTTATATGCAGATTCTTTTCTAAAATTAAAAAATCCTCTATGATGAAAAAAAAATCTTTCTGATGTTTCTAACCACTTTTCCTTAACCTTCTTTTTTACTTAGATATATGTATGACTTTTTTTTTCATGCAGGGTATTCCAAAGAAGCCCAGACAACTATGAAGTTTGTGATGGACACCTCTAAATCTTGGTTCAAACCTAGCATCACAAGAGACCAAGGTAATCTAAGGAACAGCAGGCAACAGTATCCAAAATGAAGGAAAAGCAAGAAAGCTAAAAGTCTAAGAATGTGGCCTGATTCAGACACAGAGATAAATATGATTGCTACGTGAATGAGCTTCATGAGCTGATATCTCTTCCCATCTCTGAGGAAGGTGTTTTATTACTTTTTATGGATCTATGGTATTGTCCAGCTTTTTAATACATATTATTTCCCTTGGAAAGCAGGCTAGAAATACTTACTTTGAAGATCCATTTCAGAAAAAAAAGTTGCTGGCAGCTCCATTAAAGGCTTTGCTTTACAGTATTGGACTAAACAGTACTGCAGGCATCTTATATCCTAATACACATGCTTTTTGGGGGAAACTAAAAATGGATGACTATTCTGTCCTTTTGTGGCTGTTGTTAAATGATACACCTTTCTGGGACGCCCTATGGGATTCTTGGAGAGAACTTAATTCACAACAACATCAAATCCAATAACTACCTATTGACTTCTTCACCACAGGTGTGATTCAAGTACACACTGAACCACACCTTTATCTTCCTTCTAGGAGCACAGGCATCTAGCCTTGGAATGATTGACTTCCAAGCTTGCTTCTGATGTTTTAAAAAAAGGGGGGGAAGGCAGAAATTGTGGTTGCAGGAGGAAAAGAAACAACCGATAGAAGTTGGCTTCCCTGTGCTTTTTCTCCCTTTATTTTTATACATTTTCTTGCCATTTTCTTCATTTGGCTCAGAACATGGGTGTAGTGAAAGAGTTGTGCACCAAAATAATTTCAGAGAAGTGTGTTTAAAAGAGATTTCTTTAAGCATTTGGACGAACAATCAGGTACATTACGGAAGTTGTGCACAAATGCTCCATATAAGTTATTAATAAAGTTCAGTGTAGTTTTTTAACTGATCTATTAAACTGATCTTTGTAAAAAACAAAGAAACCCTGAATCGATTCCCAGATAGATACAGAAAGGAAAATGTACCAGATTTATATTGATTTACATGTCCATTTTGAAGAAGAATCAACTTACAGAATGAAGTGATAAAAGGATTTAATCCTTTCCCTCCCTTCCTCATTAGGAACATGGAAGCTTCTGGAAATGCAAATGAATGTTTGGAGCATTAAAAAATAGATAGAGTTATTAGATAAGGCAAAATAAATGTCTCTCGGTTACTTTTCCCTGCCTCGATTTACTGACTGTTTATCTACCTATTTACCTACTTCCTTATGTTTTGAAACTCCAAAGTTTGGGACAACCTATTTCTATAGCACGATGTAAGTTATACAGCATTGCATATACGTATTTGCTGCATTCAAATTGAGTTGATACCACTGCTAAAAATTATTATACCATTTGTCATCTATTTTCTTATTTGTAAAACAAAGCTCCCTTGATAAAGACTGGTATCCAATCACACTCCCCTGCCCTGAAATGTTAAGAGATGTTGTCCATTTGCTCACAGTTATTGTTTAAGCTTTTGTTGCACATATTCATGCTAAATAAGGTATTTTATTTGTTCTTTCAGATAATTCCCACAGTTTTCTTTTATGAGAAGGCTCTTACATATAAAGCCAGTAGTATCAGGCCATACCTGAGAAAGGAAATTTTTCCCAGATATGGTTCTGGTACTACTGGTTTTGTGTGTAGCTGGTTTATTCCTGTGGGTCTCTGAAAGGGAGAGCTTGCAAACTGATGAGCATGAAATAGATCAAGACATGCGATATTATTGAGGAGCAGGCAGTATTTTCTTCCCAGGACCTTCAAGCTTCTCAATTCTTTCAAATATAGAGCCTTTTTAGTCTTATCTCAGATAACAAAGAACAAAGAGACTGAGCTGTAAATCAAAAAGCTGCCGAACCCAATCTGGCCTCTGTATAACTTGGTCAAATAGCCTTAAGTAAGCCATTATCGCTCTTTGCAACATATGATCACAATATTGGTTTACTGTGAAGGTTGCCAGCTAAGTAGTACACATGAAATGCTTTGAACAAGGACCAGTGTTTGCAAAAGATACAAATGCTTAGTAGTCTCTCTTTATTCTGTGATATGATGACACTTTGTTCTTTGGGTGTATGTTTTAACAGCTATCCAACTGCTGATGGACGAACCACCAGGGACATTTATTATGAGGGACAGCACATCTTATCCTGGCTCATTTGGCTTAGCCCTGAAAGTCTTCAGCAACAAAACAGGTACTCAGAATTCCTGCTTTAAACTGCAAAAAGGTAATAATAGAGAGGGGCCAACAGCAGCCTTCTCCTACCTGATGCTTCCCAGATGTATTTTACTATAAATTGTAGAATTCCCAAGCAGAGGGCCAGTTGGCTTGGAAGTCTGGAAGTTGTAGCTCCAGTATATTTGGAGGGCGCTGCATTGAGAAAACCTGCTCTGGAGCCAAACTGTGCAGAAACCCCACTTAAGGGATTCTTTATTTAGGGTCCCACCTGCATGTTCCCAGTCTGAATACTGACGAGACCTAAAAAGGGAAAGATAGCAGACTCTCAAAAATGTGACAGTTGCAGTGTTGGAAAACAAGAGAGGCTATTGACTCTCGCAGAGAGGCAGCACATTCACTTCTCCTGATGATGCAACTGCAGCTAATGCAGAGAGGTGGCAGTTCCCTGCGTGGCCAAAAGCTCCAAACTCATGGCTGTAGTTAATCATTCAACATATTGCTCACTGCATGTTCCCAGTTGCCTAGTGGTACACAGTTAAGGAAATTCTGCAAAAAATGAAAAACAGAGCTCTATATGGAGAGCACAGCATTTCCATAAAAGCAACCAATCGTCATTACATGTTTTAGAAATCAAAACCGAACTCAAGTTTTTTCACACAGGAAAGCAATGGTGGGGGAAAACCCCAGAGGGTAAACCAGCAGAGAAGTGAAAGAGGAGAGGAGAGATGACTGATGAGGCGTCTAAAGGAACTGCGAATAAATAAAAAAGAAAAGCAATAGAAAGTTGGCAAATGACTATATTCAGAGACTTTCTGAATCAAGGGCAGTTTGAAGTTCAAGTCAGAGCAAACTTAGCTTCTCACATTGGAAGCAACCTGCAAGATGTCGCAGGGGAAATGAAACAGAAACAAAGCAAATCTAATATACTGGAGCCTGTCCATGCAAGGATTTCAGGGTAAAGTAGTTGCAAGCCAGGACAAGCAAGCCTTCTGTGACTTCAGCATGGATCAGCTTCAGGGAGGGGAGTGCAGCTGAAGAGAAATGTAAACTTCTCTATTAATTAACTATGTGTGCCCCAGTTGGGTTATGAAGCACAGAAGAGATGGAAGCTAATGATCATTAATAGGAGCCGAGCAGAATGTTCCATGCCATTCTACACAACTTTAAGAGTTTCTCCAATTTGGCTCAAACAGCAAATTTTGCTGGGTGGCAGAAATAATCTATTTAAAAGAAAAAGAGAGCAACGAGAGATTGCAAATAATGTGAGCAAATATTGCAACCTTTGTTTTAATGTTAAAAAATAATATTTATTTCTAGCATTTAAACTTTGCCCTTCAACATTCCTAGGTTTTGAAAGTTGGGAAAAGGTTTATCATTATTTTTTTAAAAAAAAAACCACTAGAGTAAAACTATGCCATGCCACATTGATGCCTTCTAAATACCTTCAACTATAATTCCCATTAGTCCTATCCAGCATGGTCATTGGGAATTATGGAATTTGTATTCCAACCCATCTGAGGACTCTGCTGGAAAAAGCTGGAAAAAATGCACATATTCCTGTACACAGAGAGAGGAGGAACAGGTTAAAGAAAATCTACTCATTTGCTTCTTCTCAATTTTGTTGGTTTACATTGCATTTGCAGGCCAAAAACAATATTTTCTCTGTGATTATTTGTATGGGTGAACTTTATAGAAGGTATTTTCTGTTGTTGTCGTATACTGAAAACGTTCATGATTATGATAAAGGGTCAAGGGTGTCGTTGTGGCTCCAAATTCTATGGTTTGTGGTTAATTATCTTATGTGTATGACTCCAACTCATTAGCTTTCATTTGAAATTCAATCCAATTCTCACATTATTGGATTTGCAATCACATAATATTTCTTTAAATAGAGGATTTTAGACACATAATTGCTGGGTGACTGTGCACCATTTCATGAGACATTGAGTTTAGTTTTTTTTAAGTTTTAACTTTCACATCTCTGGAAGAATTCCACTATGAGTCCATCACTGATTTATATTCAGAAACACTTTGTTTCATGAGCTGAAACTATTCTCAAAACAATTCTGCTCCTTCATCTGGTTTAGATTTATAACAAAGAATTTCCATAGAATTAAAGGATGATAATAGCATTGGAACATCAGAAAAAAATTATGTGTATTACCTATTTCTGTATACAAAGCTGGGTTCAGGAATTACCATATGTCTTCATTGTCACATATTATATCCAATATTAAACATAATCAGCACCAAAATCAGAATTAGAAAAAAAGAACTTAAAAGCCACTTTTAAAGCTCTTTGGAAAACTTCCAATGTAAAGTATTGGCTTTTTATAGGTTACATTTCAGTTTGTTTTGTTTTGTTTTAAAGGAGAAGATGCTGGTAACCACATTAGACACTTCCTCATTGAGTCTTCTCCCAAAGGAGTGCATCTTAAGGGAGCGGAAGAAGAGCCCTATTTTGGTAAGATTGTTGGTCTAGTTGTTTTCAGCTACTTATGCTTAAGTTGTGACTGTCGTACATTCATGCATTTAGTTATTAGTTGAGGTTGCAATTAGCTGAGATTTAGGCAGTTGCATCTGTGTTGTTTTTTGCTCCTTAAAAAAAAGTGCCCTGCCCATCTGATTCAGCAAGGGAAAGGGAAAGGTTTTCTCTTTCCAGTCATGCCCAACTCTAAGGGGCACTATTCATTTTCATTTCTTAGCCGGGGGAGCCAGCAGTCATGTGGTTAGCATGACTATACCCTGATGTGTATGGAATGCTGTTACTTTCCCAGCAAAGTGAAACCTATTTATTACTTTCCCAGCAAAGTGAAACCTATTTATTACTTTCCCAGCAAAATGAAACCTATTTATCTACTTGCATGTGCATGCTTTCAAACTGCTAGGTGGTACAAGCGCCTGGAATTCACACATCATACAGCACTCAGGTCTCGAACCTGGGCTGGCAGACTAGTTAAGCAGCCATTGTGTACACACACACACACACACACACACACACACACACACACACACACACCTTTGAAATAAACTCAGCATTCTATTTCAATTAAGTGGGACCAGCTATCTATGGAAAGTCATAAATGTAGCAGTCTTGGAAGGTAGTGGACCTTTTCTACAATCCTAAACCAATATACAGAGAGGCACATTACCTGAGATAGCTAACCTTTTACTAGCAATATCTTATGCAGGAAGAACATCTCCATCGCTTCCTTTATCATGGAGAGTGAATCTTACCATTTCAGATTGGATGTCTGATATTCAGCTGGCCTACTCACAAATCAGTGTAGCTTCTTAAAAATCTTCCAGAAAGTTGGTTCTTATTGGGGCAAATATTTTTTTAAAGCATCAGAAATGCACACACTGTGCAAATGATATTTTCCCAATATGTGTAGATTTTTGTATAAACCTTTTGCTTGTATATTGATTTTGGTATGCATATCTTTAAAAAGAGCATGGGCTTTTACAAAATTTAATAAATATATAGCGTTTTACAGAGTGCGTTCTAGTTTGGGATTAGATTTAGCAAGTGAATTTGCATCAAACATTTTTACCATTTTCATTCATCCATTATCATTCCATTCAAAATAACAAAGGAGGGAGGGAGCATCCAAATAATGTCAATCTCAAGAATTGCCTTCCAGTTACCCAAATCCCCCACTCTATTCTTTCTAGGCCCACAAATGGATCTGTTGGTCTCATAAATCCCCAGTTTCTTACCTCTGCTACCCCAGTTGTTGATTACCTGAAAATGAATAATTTAGACATGTAGTGAAGGATGAGAAGTAATAATGTAGACTATAGAGGTGTTAAGAACACTTTATACAAACCTCATCCATTTGTTCTTTATTACAGGAAGTCTCTCAGCATTTGTATATCAACACACCATTATGCCATTAGCACTACCCTGCAAACTGATTATTTCTAGCCAAGGTATGTTTAGAATCTTGGACCAAGAGTTCCTGCAATGATCAAAAGAATAATACACAAATTCTTACAAATCCTATAGATACCAGCTAACAACAATTCCTTTTTAAACCTGAATATATTTGCTAATGATTAAAAAAAAACCAATAAAAAGGATAAGCAAACAACTATTAATGTATTAAACCAAACTCTGCATCATATTGGAATTGCAGATTTATAGAGATCTTTCCAGTAGATGATATGGTTGTGCATCAAGACTTTAATTTAATATGTTTTGTAATGTGGTTGTAACTGGTGTGCTATTATACCTATCTTAGCTTTTCTCGGTGATGAAAATCCAGCCCTTAATTCAGAAGCTGCTCTTCTTTTGTCTCAAAAAGCTGCTGGTGAGTATAATGAGAGTAAGGATTTTTCTTCAATTAACCAGGCCATATTATATCCTAAATGTTAAGGTAATAAATAATGGCCTGCAATTTGGCCTACATGTTTTGCCTCTTTTCAGTGTTGTCACTTTTCTAGGAAGATGTCACATTTTGCTACCATTCAGACCACAATATCCTGTATCTACACAGAGATATTTTTTTGGCACAGTGATTACATAATAGATTTTAATCCTCTGTGGTTTGTGTGTAGGTAGAGGGGCAGAGAGAGGGGGAGGGAGGGAGGGAAGAAGGAAGGAAGGAATTTGAGAAGTCGTTTTCAAGTCTGACTGGTTTTGATTATGGTTTGAGGGAAGGGTTAAGGGAGGCATTTAGCCCATTCATCACTATTGACAACTGGTCAAAGAGAGGCCTTCCAGCAGGATCAGCTAAGAAGCCTTCATCAGATATTGTAAAACTGAGCTACCAGATAACATTCACTTGTTTCATTAGGGGGCATTAGGTGGCCCCAAATACCTTGGAACAGGAAGCACATACAGAGGACAAAACTTCTCAAAGTTTCCTGCTTTTTGAGTTGCTTGTATGAAAAGTCAGGCTTTATGATTTCATGCTCACTTTCATGCTTCCTCTGTTGCACACATCGATTTCCTCTCTGTGTGATTTTTCTTTCTTTCTTTCCTTCTTGGCTTTCTTCCTTCCTTTTCTCTGCCTATGCAAATTCATCGCTGGCAAGCTAGAGCAACTTCTAGCACAGCTAGGGTTATTACCAAGTTAGTTTCTTGTTGTGCAGATCATTGGTTAATTTGAAGTGCCGTTCTGCTCAGACTTCAATGAGACACACGGTGGACAACCTGGAAGGCCAAAGGGGCAGTGATAGGGTCCTGTCAAAGATACCTGGCAGTGCCAGCCCAGAAGCATCAGAGACTAAGCATGAGACTGAATGGGAGGAGAGGGTGACTCTCCCGTTTCACTGCAGCAGAAAATAATCTCTGAGCTCATGGGTCCAGCACTGCTTGGCTTGCCAGCCCCCTTACCTGCTCAGGAACTTGTTGTTGCCAATTTAGATAGTGTATCTGCACCAAGAAATCACTTAAGTGATATAAAATACTGTACTTACTATAAGACGCACCAAGATTTTGAAGAGGTAATTTTTTTAAAAAAAGGTTGTGCACTCTGCAAACCTCCCAAATCCTCTGCACATCCATTTTTGTGAAGAGGGTGGGGCTTCAGGAGGCCAAAAATGCTGTATTCAGTGTATAAGATGCCCCCAGATTTTCACCGTCTTTTTTTGGGGGGGGAAAGGTGTGTCTTATACGCCGAAAAATATGGTATCTCTTCATTCTTCATGCTGTACTAAAACATTTAAAGCTGCTACAAAACACATCAGATTTGTAATTAATACAAATTATTATCTAATCTCACTTATCACAAAAGCTTGCTAAGTCTTTTTCTTTGTTCAAATAGTGAAGAGACGAATTCTGACAAGTGAGGGGCATATTTTGATGATCATTTTGTGTTTCAGGGTTTTTTTTTTGCAAACGCTCATAATTACTTTTGTGAACAGGGTTAAAAAATGAAAAAATGAACCCTGCTAAGTTTTATATGTAAATGTTTTGTTTCCATTATAATTTTTCATTTCACTGTTAGTAACATTCAGATAGTGCTGCAGTTCAGTGTTTATATGTATTTAATTGTAGTTAAGAAAATATATACATTTTTAAAAACTATGGAAAGATGAAGCAGAAAGGAGCTCAAGATCTTGTAGCCATTGCTAACTTCCCGACTTTTAAGGTGCCAGAAATCAAAAACCTTACAACAATGGCAGAGGCAAATACAAATGGGGTGCTTTCACTACTTCATCTGTGTAAGATTATGCAGCAAAATTTTTATGAGTAGCCAAAAATATCAAGATATGATCATAAAGAATGTTAATCAACAGTCCACTCCCTTCTGAAGCACATATCAAGTTCCTTCTTGATTAGCCCATTGAAGCCCAATAGTTTCTCTCCTTAGTTAAAAAAAAATGATTTGGGATATTTTTTTAAAAGCTATCATAATTACAGTTCCAAATAAAGCTTCATTCTTTCCAATATGACCTGGCAAAATGGGAATTTGTTTGATTAAACAAACAAATCTCCAGCCTGCCTTCAGCTTTTTCACAAGTTTTGTTGTATTTTTTAAATATACTATGCAATCTTAGTGTAGAAATAGACTTTTGTTAATGTCCGTGCAAAACACAAGAGAAAAAGCCTTTTAGGCTGTACACAAAACACAAGTCTCCAACTCCACCAGGAACAACTTAGATGTGCAACCAGTAGTGGGATTCAGTCAGTTCGCACCTATTCGGGAGAACCGGTTGTTAACTTTCTAAGCAGTCCGGAGAACCAGTTCTTAGAAGAAATCTCCTTTTGTTTTTTTACACTTTACAGGGCTAATCCTGTAAGCAAGGCAGAAAAGAAACATTCTGGTGTTTCTTCTAGCCTAATCTTTATTACCCTGATTACAGAAACTGCCTTTCTGGTTAAGTCTTATTATATTGTCACAGCTAAGACAAAACGCCCATCGATCTGAGTGCCGTTGAGTTGGCCATGCCCACCCAGTCACATGACCACTGACCCCGCCTACCCTGCTGGTCATTAGGGCAGAGAACTGGTTGTTAAATTATTTGAATCCCACCACTGTGTGCAACCATCAAGGACAGTTCCAATTAAACCCCCAACAACAAGCAAAGACCCATTCTGTCCACTCCACAAGTCTTCCCACTCTTTGAACTGCAGAGAATTTGGAAAGAAGCCCGTGAAGGAAAGGAAAGCTCTAATTAGGCAGTATAAAGTCTGCTATAAGTGTTGTGATTTTACAGAACACATAGCCAAAACATGTACAGCCAAGGTGTAATGTCACCTTTGCAAGAATGACAGATATCCAGGCGCCCTACATCCAAATTCTGAGACGATGCAATGTCTGACTGCTGACCCTCCTCCAAACAAGGAGATTCCACATGATGCCGAAGCACACCCAGAAGCTACCACAGATGTAAGTGTCAGATGCACCTCGGTATGTGGTGGTTATCCATCACCTCGCACATGCCACCAAATCTGCCTAGACAAAGTCTATCCTGCTACACGCCCAGAAGAAGCTGTGAAGATGTACGTAATCCTAGACACACAAAGAAATAAATCGCTGGCAAGGTCAGCATTCTTTGATCTCTTTGACATCCAAAGCAAAGAGACGGAATTCACGATATCATCATGCACTGGGTCCCAGCGCACAGTGGGGAGGAAAGTCTATGGACTCTGCATAGAAATGTTAGATGGAAGTGCACAGTTCCACACTGCCACCAATAATAAAGTGGGACAACCTACCAGATGATCGCAGTCAGAAGAAAGAACTGCATATCTTCTCAGATGTGTCAACAAAGGCAATAGCAGCCGTAGGATGCATCAGGGTCTACGGCGGGGAGAATGATGTTCACGGTGGTTTCGTCATGAGAAAGATGAAACTAACACCAAAACAAGGTCACACCTTGCCAAGATCGGAACTTTGCAGTGCCGTACTGGCCGTGGAGCTCATAGACCTGATAACAAAGACAATGGACCTTGAGCTGCAAGCCACCACCTTCTACACAGAGGTGGTGTTGGGCTACATCCACAATTGAAGCAGACGCTTCTCCGTCTATGTCAGTAATAGAGTAGACAGGATCAGAAAATCCTCAAACTCACAGCAACGGTGATATGTACAGACAGATCAGGACCCAGCAGACCACGCCATGCTCTCTATTCTTGCATCTCAGTTGGCAGAATCAACCTGGTGGAAGGGCCCAGAGTTCCTGGCTTGCCCAAACATCCTGATGTCGCAGAGATCAGAACAATACGAGCTTCAAGACCCAGATAGTGACGCCAAAGTACGACCAGAGGTTCCCGACAAGTCTCCCAGACAGGACATGAAGCCTACTGTCTTGGTCCACAAGTTTGTTGACAGTGATAAAGGAGACAAAAACCTGATCCTTAACCATTCCTTTGCCATAGCTCGCTTCGAACGCTTCTCCAGATGGAGACTTCTCATATCAGAGGTGGCAGTGATCGTTCATTTTCTGCATCACAAGGTGGGCTCCCCAGCCCACCGTACCCAAGCGGAGAGAGCCATTCTGCAGAGTGTGCAATGAGATGCGTATCCAGCAGAATTTGAGTGCCTACAGGCTATGAAAGCCCTTCCAAAATTCAGCTCACTTCTAAAACTGAGTCTATTTCTTGACTGCCACGGCTTACTGCAGGTAGGAGGATATTTAGATAAGGCTGAAATAACTTCAAATCACAAGCATCCTATCATCCTTCCTGCCCCCTAACTTGAGACAAACCTGTTGGTCCAGGACCATCATGAAAATGTCCAACATCAAGGCAGATACTTCACAGAAGGAGCCATTAGGGCTGCCGGAATCTGGATTGTAGGTGCCAAGAGGCTAGTCACCACTGTCTTACACAAGTGCCTGCACTGTCGTAAGCAACGAGGTGCGACACCATGCCAGTGATGGCTGCCCTGCCACCCAAACGTCTTAGCACTGAACCTTCTTTCACCAATGTAGGTTTAGATGTTTTTGGCCCCTGGTCCATGTCTGCCCAAAGGACCAGAGGTGGGCAAGCTAACAGCAAACTCTGGGCTGTACTTTTCACCTGTCTCGGCATTCGAACCGTCCACATCGAAGTCATTGAATCCATGGACAGTTCCTGCTTCATCAATGCCCTAAGGCAGTTTCTGGCAGAGGTCAAGGTGTTTAGATCTGACCACGGCACAAACTTCATGGGAGCTTGCAAGGAATTGAAGATAGGTGGAATCTATCACCTAGACCCAGCAATCGAGGGCTACTTGAAGGCCCGTGACTGTGTATGGACATTCAACCCTCCCCATGCATCCCATATGGGAGGAGTATGGGAGCAATTGATAGGCATAGCCCACAGAATCTTAGACTTCATGTTGACAAAGGCACCTACACTGACACATGAGATCCACACTCCCCTCATGGCAGAGGTAGCAGCTATTATCAACTCCTGACCTTTGGGTCCAGTTTTTACAGATCTTAAAAACCCAACTATCCTCACCCCAGCCACCTTGCTGACCCAGAAGACAGGCGACTGGCAACCACCAGCAGGGAACTTCGTTCCTAAGGACATACAGTATATAAACAACAATGGAGACAAGTTCAACTGCTTGCCAACACATTCTGGAAGTGCTGGGAGCAGGAATACTTACCCTCCAAGATCACCACATGTGGCAGTGCAAAGAACCCAACCTCGAAGAAGGAGACCTTGTCTTGCTAAGAGACAAGAACGCACTTCAGAATTTGTGGCCAATAGGACTTGTGCGTCAAGTCCTACCCACTAATAATAGACTAGTTCACCAGATGGAAGTTCAAGTTGTGAAGCCGCTGGAATCAGGTCGCGACCAGCAGACTTCCACCAAGAAACTCTACACCTGACCAATCACTGACCTAGTACTGCTGCTACGGAAGACTGAACTAGAAGATTGAAACTCAAGCTTTGCATGCTGTGTGCTTACATCATTGTTTGTACTGTTAGATATTATGCCTTTGTGTAACTCAGCTAATTAGTTAGCTAGGTTTGCAAGTTGATATTATGCCTCTGCTTAGTTAATTAGATAGTCAAGTTTGTAATGTTTTATGCCATGCCTTTGTTTCCCTTTAGTTAAAAGTTAGTTGATAGTGGAATTTATAATTCCAGATGGGGAGTGTGCTGTCCCAGCAGTATATAGCTAGTATAGAAATTAAGAACTGTCTTCTTTAAGAAACTACACTATGGGAAATGTAGTTCCATAACATGTGATCACATCTCTGTTTCTGATTGGCCACTGGAGGATTCTGCCTGCATGCAAGTTTATAGCCGATCAGTTTAAATGCTTTTGTTACCTGGAATAGCAGTTTTTGTATCTCCGCTCAGCATGGGAGTGAAATCATCATCTTTATACACCACGGGATGGGACAGATTATGGAAAGTCAGAAGTATCTTAACACTGAACTGTAAATTTTGCTATTAAGAATGCCTGATAATAAACTTGGTCTGAAAGAGATTCCTAAGCATGGAGTTAATTGCATATCCCGAGCAAGCCTATAATGCCCGAGGCAGAACACTTAGTTTCCTTCCATATTTTTTGAAAGTGTTTCATGGTTTTTAATCTCTCAATGATAGCCACCAGGAATAACTTTTTTTTTCTTTTTTTGCCTTATAGTATGTAATCTCCTGTATCTGCACTCGGTGACTATGGAAACCCTCACTGGCAAAGCTGCAGTTCAAAAAGCTGTATCTTCCACTTTTGAACAAGAGATGCTGCCTACGCCCACCATTGTCCACTTCAAAGTTACTGCATTAGGAGTAACTTTGACTGACATCCAGAGAAAGTAAGAAAGATGTCCTGAGGGTGGGGAGCCATTTTCTGTAGCTATCCCTATCAGGGAAAAAATCTTCAAATGGAAAAGATGGTGTATTTTTTTCAAAATTTATGCGAAAAAAATAGATATACTTTTGTATGGGGGTGCAGTGGCTCAGATATTAAAGACCTTCAGCTTGTCAGCTGGCAAACTAACAGCCTGGGTTTGAGACCTGAGGACCATGCAATAGGTGAGCTCCAGTTACTTATCCCATCTTCTGCCCATCTAGCATTTCAAAAGCATGCAAATGCAAGTAGATAAATAGGCACCACTTTGGTGGGAACGTAACATTGTTCTGTATGCCTTGATGTAAAATTGTGGTGGCCACATGACCACGGAAATGTCTACAAACAACACTGGCTCCCTCAGCTAAGAAACAAAGATGAGCACCAGACCTTAGAGCAGGGGTCAGCAACCTGTGGCTCTGGAGCCACATGTGGCTCTTTCATTCCTGCTGTGCTCCCTGTCACCAGTCAGATCCACAATTGATAGGGCTTTTGGTTAGGACAGGTAGAGGGAAAAGGACACCACACTAGGAGGAGACTCTATGTAGTGAAACCAGACTTCCAGTCGGCTTTAGAAATGAACAGAGGGCTTCTGGTTAGGACCTTTGTGGCTCTTTGAGTGTTTAAGATTGCCAACCCTTGCCCTAGAGTAAAACACAACTGGGCAGGGGAAATCTTTACCTTTTCCTTTATTTTTGTGTATTTTCCCTGTGAAGTGGCCAGGTTGGTCCGTTGCATCCAAAACATTTGGTGGAAAGCTGCTCCCTTATAACTCCCACTCCTATCACCAATATAAATACAGGTTTGGGGGATTTGTTCACATACCACATTAACCCAAATGTGATTTGTTTACTTTGGTTTTAGTACAGAATGTGAGCCCAGCCATTATCTGTTTTCACATTGTATATGAAATAGGCCACTATGAATTATTTAGCAATTCATAACTTAAAATTTTTGGCTTGGCACTATGTTTGAACACAACGTCTGCCTGAATCAGTGATCAACTTTATGTGTCATGCTGTTATGGCATTTGGGGTTTGGTTTAACTTATATAGACTACAGTCTTGAATAAAGAGATCAGTCATGTTTTATTTCCATTGAAATCAATAAGACAATTAGTCATATATAAATAATGAACTGTTTACTGTATTTCAATGAATTCAATAATGAATCATTCACACTAGATCCAGCCCGGTCTGAAAAAACATTCCTGTGAAATAATAAACACTTTGAACAACTTAATCTCCTTTATTTTAAAGCTAGACTAAGATAGTTGATGTTAAAGCCCAGTTATTTCACAATGATTTTACTGGAGCTAAATTACAACAATTAAGACTGCTGTCATATAAACCCATACCTGGATTACTACACATATTTTACAAATTAAATATAAGTGGGATCATTGAAGTAGGGTTAAGAATTGTTTTTATTGAATTCATTCATTGATTTATCATTTTCAACATGTATTTTTCCTTATCTTCTTGACTAATTGCATTTTTTAAAATATGCATCCAATATAATATTTAGTGGTCATCTCATTGACTGGGGTCATTTCACAATAAGATGGAATGATAGCTCTCGCTAGTGGCAATACAAATGTGTTCTCTATTTGAATCTCTTCATTGCTTTCTTCACACACAAACACACCTTTCCTACAGGATCTTCTTCAGAAGGCACTATCCATTGGCTACCATCAGTTTTTGTGACCTGGATCCTGAAAATCGAAAGTGAGTACTCTTCAGCTTAAATCTTACAGCAAGTGTTGAAGGCTAGATTGATTTTCAGGCCATTTTAAGATATATTTTCAAAGAAATTTCAAGATGTTATACAGAAGAAAAACTAGGGACAAGAAAGAAAGAATGTTATTTAATCATTGCAATATCCTGAGCTGTAGCAAGCCCTTGTAAAAAAAAAATCATCCACCACAAGGGAAATTATAAAATGGATTGCATAATAGAGTCCATTCATGTCCTTATTTCATGTTATATGCATTTATTAAATTGTACGCAAAAAAAAATCAAAATGTTTTCAATCTTGAGAAGCTGCCAAACTGCTAATTTATCATTCCCTTGAAAAGCCTTCTCCTCATATGGCTAATATCCAGGGATTAAGATGTCAAGGGAATCAAAAGTTCTAACGAATACTGAAATATACAACTATAACAGAGCCCAAAATTTATGTTGTTAAGTGAGACACATGTTGAGTGGGTTTTGCTTCACTTTATAACCTTTTTGCCACAGTTATTAAGTGAATCACTGCAGTTGATAAATGTTAAGTGATCTGACTTCCCCGTTGACTTTGCTGGTCAGAAGGTCGCAAAATGTGATGAAAAGGGGACTAGGCAACAGTCATAAATATGAACCAGTTGCCTAGCATCTGAATTTTGATCACATCGTGGGATGATGCAAAAGGTTGTAACTGTAAAAAATGGTCGTAAGTCACTTTTTTTCAGTGCTGTTGTAACTTTCAATGGTCACTAAATAAACTGTTGTAAGTCGAGGACTACCTGTAATTTTGTATAACTTTTATTATTCAAATATCTATTTGTTTATAATTTTTATTAAGAGTTTTTAAGCAAGAAATACTAAAAAAGGGAAAAGAGGCAAAAAATAAAATGTATAAGCAAAAAGAAATCGAAAGTAGTAGCTTCAAATTTTCTTTGCAACAAATATAAGTACAATTAACTTTTACTCCATGATTATTTTTTTAAAAAAAGTTTTTTATATTATCTTTTTCTAATACTTAAAGCCATAAACCATAAGCCTTTTTTTCTGTTTCATGCAACCCCCCCCCCAAACTATAAGGGGTTCCAGTCAGCAATAAACATAGTTTTCTCAGATAATATAAATACAGGCAAACAACAAACTCCACAGAACCTGAATACTTTTTTTAGAAAAAAATGACTTGTTTTATGGGGGCTTCAAATATACCGCAGCCAATCCAGTGTTTAATTCAATTGCTGAACCCAGCTAACGGCAGTAAAGATACAGATTTTGGAGTAGTTCAAAAGCTTCAGAATGTTGAAGAATCTTCAGGTCCTCCCATGATTTATTTCCCCAAAATATTTTTTTATTAATGTATTCAAAATATTTTATCAAAGTTACTTCCTTTCTTCCCACATATATGGTCTTTGGAGGGGTAATGATACTATCTGTTATCTTTAAGTGGAACTATTTCCCAGCAACCCACTTTATCATTTGCCTGCACCTGGAAATAGTTCCCAATGAATTGTTTTGTCAACATAACAACAGAGCTGAGGTCTTGGTGGCATGTCTGGAATTCAAGAATTTGTTGTGATGGTGTAGCTTTAAAAGATTTTTTTTAAGCACTGCTGAAATGTTTGCTCTTATACAAGTTTAAGAAAATATAGAATTTATTTTTATTGCACAATTTTTTCTATAGCAAATCTCTGGCGCTTGTCACATGATAAAAACAAAAGTGTCTGAGTAATAATGAAATATAATTGCAAATACTTGGTGCATTTAGATCTACTTTCTGGAAGCAAGAGAAATGTAATAGATGTTATTCACTGTTTTTTTGGGGGGGAGAGCTATAGTAGTGGCATGGATCAAAGCATGAAACTTAATTGAAGTTGGAATGGATCACAGCAGAATGATGGGGAAGCAAAAAGCAATAGCAATGACATTATAGCACTTCTGTTCAAATATTAGTAGCTACATTTTATCGCCAAGATGGCAATAGTGGGCAACATTGCCTGTATGAGCCGAGGTGGCGCAGTGGTTAAATGCAGCACTGCAGGCTACTGCTAGATCAGCAGTTCAGCGGTTCAAATCTCACCGGCTCAGGGTTGACTC